TTATACTACATTGCAATTCAGAGGCATACAAAGAAATTCTAATATAGCCTTGAACAATGATTCTATTCAGTCTAAAATGGCATAAGCATCATCAAGTGTCAGGATATTATACTTGGCTACATTTGATAATACATAACTTAATAAACTATCAGTGGGAATGGGTGCATCCTTTTAAGCAACTGTATTCTTCCTGTCTCCATGTCCCTGTTCAACAGTGTGTCATGCACCTATCGAATGTACAGTTGAGGCTAACTACAGCTGAAGTGAAGATTATCTCTTGGTCTTAAAAGAAATCAGCTTTTCAGCTTAAACCTGTGTTACGTCCTTTTATTTTATGTAAGGATGAAACTGCAAAAGCCTTAAAGAATTGACTGAAAATTCAGACTCATTGAGAGCTGTGTTTTCAAATAGAAATATACATCTACTGTCATTAAAAAAAATTCTTTCCTCAAAAGTTAACTCTTCAGATGTGCTTACATGGGAATCGCTAGTGGCTTGTTTATCTTCCCCACAGCTTTTACAGGCAATGCATATTATTTCCAGAAGCACATTTGCATCACCTAAAATTCGGATCTCTCAACAACAAATCTCTCCCACAACAAATGCACTTCCTGGAGTGGCACGCTAGGGGGGACTTCTCGGCTGCTGAAGAACACAGTGGAAAATTACAAAGCATTAAAAAAAAAAAATCCCTGGTCTTTCTTACACCAATACAAGCATTTTGCTCAATAGGAAACCTGAGAATCAGCATATAAAAAATGGCTTAAAAAGGGCAAACTTCATTTCCCAGAGAACATTTCCTCATCTGTCATTTTTAATGTTGGCAAAGTTAATAAATGCAGCACAAAGAACTGGAAACAAAAAGATCTGAGAAGCTTCACGGATCTGTGTAGGAAACCTATGTTACTGCGCCAATTCAACACGAACGCATGCACACAAATAAACTTCTCTATTTCTGACAGGTAGGGATTAACTAGGACTTGACTCAGTCATTGGGCAGAAACAGCACAGCTGAGATGTGCCAGGGTTACACTGCTTTAAAACAGCACAGACCCTGGACACCTCTCAGTCCTAACCTGGAATGGGGCTGCCTACAGCGCAGGCAAGATCAGTCAGCACACTCATTCTGAAGCTCACTCTGTTTCTGGCTTCCAGACCGTTCTATTCATTTATTTAGTGCTGACACAAGTGACAAGTCACAGCACTTACACAAGTGCCTCCATAGTCTTCGAAGAACTTACTGCCTTAATCAACTGCATCTGGATCTGATTCTGTAACCTAGTTATTAAGGGATGCCTGTAATGCCCTCAGTCATCGTAAATCCTCGGTATCATCTGTGATTAACTGCTTTCCCGCCTCACAACTGTACTATCTACAAGTTTTAAAAGCTAACAAGCTAGTTTGTCTTTGAAACGGCACTAAGGCAAATAGATCTGAATATAGTACCTGGAAATAAAAAGCAACTAAATTGCCTCAGCACCCAATTGTTAAATTGAAAGTTTTGAACTTTTTCTTCCTCAGAAAAGAGGATCTCCCCAAATCTGTCCAAATAAAAACTTACATTCTCTTTTTTCCTCTCCTCAGAGACATTTTAATGTGTATTACACTGATTATATTTCATGTGCTGCAGAACATCTTTAGAGCATGAAACTGATGTATAGAGAAATGAAGTATTTCTTCTAGATTTATGCTAAGTCTTTCATTCAGTTTAGCACCATCTAGGCTAATGAAAATCTTAGTAAAAGATTTACAAATCACCATATACTTAAAATCCTTTAGGTCAGAACTTTACACGTTGGTAGTTTCCTCAGCAAACTTGAGCACCACCCGATACACTGTGAAACATCTGGAAGTAAATCTGACCTACTTTCTGGAAATCTGGCAGCAGAGTCAGGGAAATTTTGAACTAAACATTGCTCTTCATGTGTTCTTGAACATTCAGCACATTGATCTATTTCCAGGATAAAAACACGAAGTTCCTTTGAACATATCCATGGATACTCATTTGCAGTCAAGTCACTGATACTACATTGCTCATGAGCTGAACTACCTCCAATACCTGAAAAATGTTCTTTCCCAGGACGTTTAAAAGCACTGTACATAACTGTATCCTTATGCCATGTCCAACTACATTACTGTAGTTCTGTCCTACACCTCAAAGATTTTGCCAGTGTAGACAGGCCAATAAAGATATGCTGGTCATTCCACATCCCTCCCTTGCAGGCAGACAGAAATTTTTATAGGTGTAACTGAAACCATATCCCTGAACTGAATGAAAGCGTAGCAATAAAACTGATTTCTTTATTGGTTAAGTACATTGTAACTCTGTAGGCACAATGATGTCAGCTGAGGAAAGCGAGACCACATCCCTGATTGGGACTTGGATAACAGAACTTTCAGGGGAATTCTATCAGTTATTCATGGAGAAACTACAGCTAAGTCAAGTAAAACTCACTGTAAAATGTTTTTGAGCGTTGCAGAACTTGCAGTGAACCTGTTTAATTTTTGCAGGTTCTTCTGAATATATCACAATCCTTAAACTTAAAACAAGCCGTAAATCCTAAAATGCAATTCTGCACCTATAGAAATATCTGGATATTTTCTAGGGGTCACATTCTTACACCCCAGAAACACAGGGGTTTTTTGATGAATCAAAAGATACTTACACAAAAAGAGCAATTCCAGTGTTAGCCATGGCAAAAGAAAGACCAAGGATGCCACTACCCACAATAGCATTGCTCAGATTAAATACTGACATTCCGAAGGAAGTAGTACCTGGATGCTGAGGAAAGGGAGATAGGTAATAATTAACAGAAAGTTATTACTCATCTCAGAACTAAAAAAACCCAGAAATCTGGCAGTACGTTTTTGTTTGTTTATTTAGAACGTCATTGCTGGGTACTTACATACTGAGTTTCGTATTTCTTCTTTCCAACGTTGGAGTCGAGCAAAAAATTTTGGTTTTCTGGATCAATATCCGCATAGTGGCTGCAAAACAACATTGCATCATTAGTGACTCTTACGGGCAACACGCATATTCGCTTCCCGATGCATTTCAAAGGGAGAAGGACAAACCGATGGAATAACCCCGAAAGAACCACCCCACCTGCCAGTGTCAGCGCGCGGAGCGCCGCGCCCGTCCCGGGCCGCAGCGACTCCCGTGTCTCCGCAGGGACTGCCCCGCCGGGTCCCCGGCCGCTGCCGCCCGCCGCGGGCCGGCGGAGCCCCCTCACCTCTTCATGG